GCCGGGGAGGGGGAGGGGGGGAAAGAAGGTGGGACCAAGGAAAGAGTCCTGCTGGTCAATGGCCCTGCTGCTGCAGCCCTCCCAGGAGCACCATCATGCTCCCTACTCCAAGGAGCCGTGGGTTGGGGCCGGCTAGCATAGCCCCAGCTTCCTCTCCCCAATGAAGGAGCCATGCAGGCTGGGGCCAGGCAGCACAGCCCTGCCCTCCCTCCCCGGTTGGGCAGCGTGTCCCCGAGCACCTCAGGGAGTGACTGTCTCCGGAGCAGCAGCCAGCAGCCCCAGTCAGCTCACCACCACCGGGTAAATCCTCCAGTATTAAATAAATAAAACAGAAGGGTGAGCCGCATGACTGTGGTACTGGTAATGCAGCCACCTGCAGAGAGGTGTTTTGCACACTGCCTATGTATATTCAGTTACTACACCATGCAGGATAGCCACCAGATTGTAAAGCTGTGACCAGACTATGTTATTTTCAATTCAAACAGAAAACCTTTTGATAAAATGTCCAAGGCCCTAAACTGGGTGAGAATTCACTCTCAGCTCAACATCTGGCATCACAGCCAAACTTTGAGGCTATGAAACAGGAGTTAAAGAACGGGCTACAAATTATCATTTGCATGACAGATTTATCTCTAAAAGTTGAGGGTTTTTTACCCTTCATTGATTAACATTTTAAGTGTTATGATGAGAACCACAGGCACACACCAAAACAAAAATTAAAAAAATCCTTTTGTTCAATCTTTACATTCATATGCCTCGCTGCACTGGTCTTTGTAAACCTCCCACGGAATGCACTGATTTGTCAAAGTCATGAAATAAAATTGTCCAGTAATTAATTAGTAGCTGATTTAGCAATGGATTCTGTATTTCTCCCAACGGATACTGTATTTCTCCCAACATGAGCAAACAAAACAAAGATCGGAATAGCTAACAACTAAACTGCATTTTTACAGTAAAAATAAAGATACAGTTGGAACATATTTCATCGGGGAAAGGTCAGGATGTTTTAATTAAAAGTGTCAGTATCAGAAGATAGTGTATTAAATTATATTAGTGCATAAGAGGTATCTTCGTGGTCATACATTATACATTCGCACAGTGGTTCACACACTGTGTAGTAATTTAATTATTCTTGCTCCTGAAATATCTTCAGCTCCTAAAATCACTCCATCATTTTGGGGCCTGACTCCCATTAGAGTCAGTAGGAAATAAATAAATAAATGCCCATTGACTTTGCAACTGAAGTTGAGCAAGCTCAAGTCCTTTGCTGCCTCATTTAATTTGCTTGCAAGACCACTGGACATATCAGAGATTTTTCTTCTGGGTAGGTCCTGCGGCTGGTATGATAAGGACGGCACTCTCCTCTGCAGGCGACTCCACATTTAATTAGCTCCAGATGCAGGCTAATTAGTCAGTCTGCAGTGAGAGCGCTGCTCTGTTGTCACTTAAGGCTGCCCTCAGCGGTTAAGTAAAAGGGATGAAATTGAACATGAAAACCAGATGCCAAGTGTGTGCCGCACTCTGGGCAGTCCATGAGGAGTGGAGGGTTCCCCCATAATCGATGGGCTAAGTATAATAAATGTTGTGTCTAAAAGCCAGGGGCCTGGATGAATCTTTGCATGGTTCAAATAGTATGTACTGAGTGAAAAGGGTCATATCTTAAAACAATTGATTCTCCCTAATGCAGAGGAAGGACTAAATTTTACCAGTAGGATATGAATGGAATGTTTATTTGTAGCTTTTATGTACACTCAATTTGCATTGTATTTACATGCATTTTTTAATTGTATTTTTGGAAGATTTAGGGCCATATCATTCCATTGAGGAAAAAACGTCCAGTGATTTCAATGGGAGCTTTATGCATTGGAACAGAGATAAGATTCAGCCCTTGATGAATATGCAATGCATGGGATAAAGCTATATTTTTGTTACAAAGACAGCGTATTTTGCAAGTGTTCCGGGAGTAACCTTCTGGAGAAGCCTGCAACTTGCTCATGCATGCTTTCTGGTATAGGATTTCTCTTCCAAAGAGAACAACCTAGGAAAATGGATGGTAGATTCCAACCAATACAATCTGATGCACTAGAAAGTGCTAGACCATGTTTTGTAAAAATGATGAATTCTTATGAATAGGACATTTTGCCATAGCCGAGTTTTTGCAACCGCAGCTGCACAAGGTCTTATGTGAGGGGGACTTGCAAGCAAGCCCATGATAAAGTTACAGCTTATTGCTGTACACTGACTTGATGATCCATATACTTTTCATTACACATAACTGATGAAAGATTCAATAAGAAATTGCCTAACCAGCTACCAAATGTTTTAGCATCAACCTATTGCAACGTGGCTAGGTGCTGATCTAAATGCTGGAGGAATGTCCAAACACTCGAGCTATTTTCCCTGTGTTAACAACAATAGGGAAGGTTCACAGTCTGTAATTTAAGGAGAAGATAGTCAAATCTAACCCATGAAGCTCAGTGAATGTTTTTCCCAGTTTCAATTGCTTGTGTTTTGCCAGGGGTCCTTGGATGGACAGGCTTGGGCAAGGAGGTATTTTGGAGACTCGGGAAGCCCCAGAGAGAAACAACCCTGACCCAGAAGTAAAAGCCATGTCCGAGTGAACTACTGGAGAAGGGCATCTAACAAAGACTGCCTGTGCCAGGAAGAGCTGCCATTTGACATGCACTGACACTTGATGACAATTTGCATAAGAACTGGTCTGTTGCTTAGTAATGGACAAGTGAAATCAAAGCACTGCCCTAGACGCATCAACCACCCACCATAACAACGTTAACGCGTGAACTGGACAACAAATTATTTCTGTAGAAATGACTCATTCTTAGTCATTTTGACTTCTTGTTGAACAACAAGAGCATCATTGCTCAGGGGTTTGGGACTACAGCACAAAGCTCTTTTTAGCCATGTTCTTAAAAGATGATTAATAAATAAATCAATTCTACTGCTACTCTGTTCCAACCTACACACACACAGACACGTGTGAGAGTGTGTGTTTGTATACACACACACACACACACACACACAATGCGTTTAAGCTATCCCTGCACCATGAACTAATCACACCACTCCAAATTCCCTTATTTGATCACCTGAGGCACTGATCAACAGGCATTATCTACCAACCATCTCCTCATCTATCAGCCATTACAACCATGGATTGCACAGTCTTCAGACATGCCTATGTTCGAGAAGTCCTCTAAACCCTTGAACTCTTCCTTCTCTTTCTTCTCCTGGGGTTTAGACTTACGGTGTTGCTTTTACCTCCCTCTGACTCTTTAGATCTCGTAGGACGTATCCCCAGTATTTCCTGATTTTAACTGTCCTCCTCTCTGTTGCTGATAGAATTCCTTGAATGTAAACAGAGCTTTTTACTGCAATTATAATTTTTGCATGCTCTCCACCTGCAGAACTTATGGTTGAAAAGTGAGGTAGCCATGTGTATACATTGAAATCTCATAGTACTTTCAACGATACAGAAACATTGCATACATTTCCTGTAATAAACAGCATTGACACTAGATCAGCTGGTCCACCACACAGCCAATAGCGTGACACGACTGTGCTATATGCCTGAAATAGTGATGTCAAGCAAGTCCTGTTGGAAGAATGCATAAGTCATTCATGTGCATTGTGTATCTTGTTTCTGTAAAGAACGTACAGTGTGTGACTTTTGTTGAACTGGTCCAAGGTGGAAGGCAAAATGCGACTGTTGTATTTCTTCATGATACAGGTTGAACCTCTCTAGTCCAGAACTCTCTGGTCTGGCAACATCCAGGGTCTGAGATAATGTTAGTTATCTGGATGTCCTCTTATCATGGGGGTGGCCAAGTTTCCTGAATCCCATAAAGTTTGTTTACAACCACTAGTCCTGGCTCTCAGTGCTCTATGTTGTTATTTATCTCTAATTTACCCCTATGTGTCTTCAAAGAGCCCAGTAAGCAGTGGAAGTGTTGGTAATGCTGTTAGACAATATTGATCTCCCATGGTTCAGCAATTCTCTGGTTCGGCACCAGTGAGGTCCCAAGGGTGCCAGACTAGAGATGGTCAACCTATACCAGATTTTGACCCAAATCCTGCCAGATTCTCCATAACCTCAAATCCCTGTGACTGCCATGGAAACAAAGGACACACAGCACTTTCAGGAGGTTTTCAGGAGCAGACCCTAGCATTTAACATAGCACCACCATTAAATGGCTTCTCTGGTTCTGTTTGCAGACAGAGTGTTGACAGCTTGAAGTGCATCACTCCAGTATTAATTGCCAGGTCTAAAGCATCACTTGCATAGCAAACTTACGCCAATCAACCCTCTTCCAGCACAGAGAAAGCCATGGAGAACGTGGTTTGCCTCCTCTAAGCAAAAACCTTAAATCCATTCAATGCAAGATCTTTCCATACTAATGTGTTTCCAGATTCTTTTTCCTCAGAGTCTGTGATAAATCCACAAGAGCAAAAGCATTATCATAACATATACGGGTGGGGGGGAATAGGCCATGAAGCTTTCATAGTACATCAGGTTAAAGAAGAGACATCTGTTTTGTATTATGTTTTATAAGGTTGATAGCAAATAAGGGTATTAGAGTTAATTTACCTAGTTAGAGAAAAACGACTCCGTTGCAGAAGCTGTGATTGCGAGTGAATGCTCGAGTGATCTTCAAGTATATCAACGCTCCTTTGGGAGGAGAACAATGCCAAGCGTACAGCAACAATTTTCCAAAGAGATATTTCCAAGAGACGTGACTATTAACGCAGTAAGTATGAGCACTTCCTAAAGGACAGTCTGGATAGGAAGACAATACATACGAGTAATTAGAAGAATGGTAGCACTTAAATGCCCCAGTGAGAGCAGAGCTCCATTGTGCTAGGCATTGTACCTATTTGTACAGGCTGAACTACTGTAGTCCGGCATTCTCAGGACCTGACTGGCGTGGCACCAGAGAATTTGCCGAATCATGGGAGGTCAATGTTGTCTAGCAGCATCACCAACACTTCCATTGCTTACTGGGCTCTGAGACATGTAGCGGTAAATTTGAGCTAAGAACACAGAACAGAACACTGAGAGCCAGGAGGGGTGGTTGTAAACAAACTTTATGGGACTGCAGGAAACTTGGCCACACCCATGTTAGGAGGGCATCAGGCAAGCTAAAATCATGCTGAATCATGGATGTTGTTGGGCCAGACAGTGCTGGACTAGAGGTTCAACCTGCAATAGGAGAGAAATCCTGATCCACAGAGCATGCAATGTGAACAGGCAAAACAGCTGGTAGGTAGGAGGTGAAAATGTGCTGAGGATCACATGCCAGGACAGCGGCTGAGCACATCCCTCACCTGAAGTTGCCAGTTTGAATCCACCCATAATGGGGCATCACTCACCTCACACGAGCAGCCTCCCTTTGGCTGAGTGTCTATGCCGGCACTCTTTGCTGTGGCAACCCTCCTGCACACCAGCCCTGTCTGACCTGCTTGAGCTCCAAGGAGCAACTGCCTCACTGTGACCCAACCGCTTCCTTTTAACTGGCTTGCCAGACCCTGACTGGCTGAGTTCTTTATGCCACTCTAGCTTTCTTGGAGGACTTCTCTATGGTTTGCTGGGTGAGTGGTGGCGAGGCCACAAGCCTCCAGCAGGGGGCTTCGGGGCCTGGTCTACTCTGTGATACCACCCCAGGTTAGTAGTGGTTGAGTATGATGACTGTACAGTAGCTTGCGTGGAAGCAACTTGGTGGGTCCCCATCCAAGCTATACAAGCTGGTATCCAACCAACTGCAAATGTTTCCCACTAACTGGCCCTCTTATTGGCACCCTTAGCTGAATGGCCACTGAACAGCACATGGAGAATGAATTCTCTTCTTACCCACTGAAGTGGTCCCTCTGGGGCAGGGCTTACATGCATTGACTAAGCAGCATGGAGGACACGCACTGTGGATGGAGCTTGATCTTAGACTGTGAATATTAGGGCATTTCAGTCTCCAGAGCTTTCAGTCACCCCCACCTTTCTGCAGCACTTCCATTCCCCTTGGTCCTTCTACTGAGTTGTCAGAGGTTGGGAATTTTGCAGGAGTAACAAACCCACTTCACCAGGGGGAGGACAAGTGCTTCATGCTACTGAATAGAGAAACGCCTGCACACAACTAAAGGACTGAAGGAATCCTCCCTTGACAGAAAGACTGGCCTTAAAGTGATAGAGATGTAGCCGTGTTAGTCTGGGGTAGCTGAAGCAAAATGCAGGACAATGCATTTGGCCTTAAAGCTGAGCCTCAAAAGAACAGGCATTTCCCTGTAAGATGAGCAGCCACACAGGTGAAATTAAATACCGCCCAGCTGATTAGCAAAGCACCCTCAGCCGGCAGCATGTGTGTCTACTAGTGGTGCACATCCACACATGTCATGGTGCACACAACAAAATTTATTCTGTACAAGGATGGGGAAAAAATTAGAAGGAACACTTAGGGTGTTACTACCTGCTTTGCCTGAGCCCCAAAAAGGGGGTGAAGACACTCACTGCTCCCCCTCCAAAAATCAAGGTGCTCAGACGCGCAGGTGGATTCAGCAGAGGGCAGAGGCAATCACACCTCTTTGCAAAGCCTATTGTGGATGCCTATTGTCAAACACAGCCGGCACAATGCCAGATTTTGGCATCCATTAATTTCACACTAGGTTGCCACATACGTTTCAATTTTTCAGGAGGTTTTCATGCTTGGCTCATGCCACTTTGGAGAATAGAGTGGTTTCACAGGGAAGGTGCGGGCTTGAAAGCAGGAGCAAACGAGGATTTAATTTTTCTTCCTCCTATCAGATTTGTCTACACATCTAAGCAACTCTGGTTGAATTAACATATGCTGTTGCACCAATATACAGGCAGTCCCCAGGTTACGTACAAGATAGGGACTGTAGGTTTGTTCTTAAGTTGAATTTGTATGTAAGTTGGAACTGGTACATATTGTAGGGGAAACTCTAGCCAAACATTTCCCCAGAGCTCAGTTTTATTCTCCCGCACCTCACTTCCCTCAGTCTTTTCTTCTCAAGCTGAGGTGTCTGCTGAGAAAAGCCGCTCCACATCTCCCTGGTCTGCTGGGGTGGGGGTGCTAGCTTCGCGTCTCCCTGGTCTGCTGGGGGGAAGCAGCTAGTGCGGGGTTGGGGATCCGATGTAAGTCGGATCCATGTAAGCCGGGGACTGCCTGTAGCTAATCGGATGCAGCTTTCTGTATTTTTAAACTCTGCATCAGTTGAAATCTGACCAGCCCTGCAAATCGGCAGATTTTCACTTTATATCCACGGGACACTAGCCTCTGTAATGATGTCCCTAGCCTCTGTCAGAAGCTAGAACTAGGTAACAGGGCTGGGATCACGTGATGAGTCTCTGTTCTGTTCATTCCCTCGGGAGCACCTGGCATTGGCCACTGTTGGCAGACAGAATGCTGGGCTGCATGGACCTTTGGTCTGACCCAGTCTGGCCGTTCTTATGTTCTAAGGGATGAACTGAGACTCCGTGGACCGTCCTTCTGTCCCCAGCTTAGCCGCTGTCTTGGCGTGTGATCCTCAGCACATTTTCACATCCGCCCTTCTGTTTCACCTCCCACCCACCATCTGTTTTGCCTGTTCACAGTCTGGCCGTTTTTATGTCCTTACCCACATCCGCAGATGTGGATGCAGATATCCCCGGCTCATTTTCGCGGATACAGATGCGGATACAAATTTTGTATCTGTGCAGGGCTCTATAAATCTGGCTTTCCATTGGGTTAGATTGACCCACACTTAAAACACTCTCCGAGCTTTTTGTTCTGCAATTCCCAGTGCTTCTGGCAGCCTCTGACAATCACACTGCCAATTCCCAATGGTTATCTCACTGGGGTAGGGACTGACTTTTCATTCTGTGTTTGTATAGCGCCTAGCATAGTGAGGTGCTGTTTTATCACCAGGGTTCTAGGCATGACAGTAACAAAGTCATAATCAAAAGACAGGACGATGTAGCACTTTAAAGGCTAACAAGATGGTTTATTAGGTGATCACTTTGGTATATATGGTTGTGCCAATTTTCTTCCACAAATTGTTCTGAGGAAGTGGGTCTGGCCCACGAAAGCTCATCACCTAATAAACCAGCTTGTTAGTCTTTAAAGTGCTACATAGTCCTGTCTTTTGTTTCAGCTACACCAGACTAACACAGCTGCATCTCTATCACTAAAGTCATAATCAGTGACTGCAACACTTTTGGAAGGGATACTAAAAAGGGTGTTTAAACCGAACTAACAAATAAGGACCAGGATTACCTCTGCCCCTATGTCTGTGTACTGAAGGGTTCTTACATCTTCGTCTAAAAGCCAGTGGTTACTGTTGAACACAAGATACTGCTGTAGATGGAGCTTGGCTCTGATCCATTATAGTAATTCCTACATTCCTGGATCTGGATTAGCGTCAGCATATCCCACTGTGCTTTCAGCTTTATCTTCACTCCCTTCTTTTAGCTTTGGTGAGGTCTGTTCATTCAGGCAGGATTGCATGGCGGATGCCATCTATAACCACAGTTGAAGTAAAAATCGTTTGCAGAAAGCATGCAAAAGTTGGTGATGAGCCCAAACCAATATTACACATTCCTGAATTGTATCATTATTTGATTTACACAATAATCGGTTTAGGGCCAAGAATGCATTGCACAATACACAGAATACAGACTATTCTGCCTGGAAGAGTTTGCACAAAACCAGAGTATTGTTTCAACATTAGAACGTGAGTTAATATTACAAGTTCACCAGATAAAAGCACAGAAAACTCCCAAGAATCAGTATGTGCAATAAAAGTCCCCGTGTAAATGGGAACTAATTGTTAGAAGAATGGACTCAGTCAGGTCTTCTTAGCTCTGCCACTAAGGTTACGTCTAGACTGCACTCTTAAATAGGAAAAAGATCCAAATTGCGTATCTTTTTTCAATTTAATTTCAAAAGAGGCTTTTTTGAAATTTGGCGCATCTACACAGCACCAAATTTCAGAGAAAAGTGCTCTTTCGAGCCATCTCTTATTCCTTGTAGAACGAGGTTTACAGGGGTGGCGAAAGAGCGTGTCTGTTCTTTTGAAAAAATGTTTAATACTTCTGGTATCCTGAAAAAGCAATGCAGCCTAAGTCACAATGTGATCTTGGAAAAGTTTTGTGCCTGCTGTGCCTCAGTTTCCCTGGTGTGTAAAAAGTTGTTATCCTACGGGACAGCCACGCGGGAATTAATGCTTACAAAATCCTGTAAGATCCTTCGATGAATGATTCTCTGGACAAGATTTTCAAAAATGAAAGTTCCATATGGTGGGAAGTGAGCATTTTTTAAGCTCAGGCACCTTAATGAAATGGTCAGAATGGGGCACAACTCTTTGGAAAATCTGATTTGCTACATGCAAAGTATAACTATTATGTTCTAATGGTGCTTGATAACTACAAGAAAATAATTTTCCAAACGCTCTCATTGTACAAGTCATCTCTATATAACCCATCCCTTGTTTGGGTGGATCCCATCAATATTCTTTCAGGGACAGAATATTGTTATGATGTTTCCATCAAAACGTTTTATTTTAAACGTATTCATTTTGCGCATGTAGGATTTCCAGCAAGTTACTTGGAGGTGCTATAAAATTTGCACTGGTTTTTTCTTTCAGTTTCCTCTGAACTTACTTTCTGAAAAGAAAACACTGCTGCCGCCATCTGGGGCTTTATAGAAATAGCTCAAAAGAGCTACACTGCGAACTGCAGGGCAGAAAGACGCATTTACAAGACACCAGGGCTTTAATTCTCCGTCCTTTTTTCTGAAGCAGAGGACAGGTAAGCACACACCTCCTTGGAGTCACTGAGCAAGATTATACGAGATCTGACATTTTAGGAAGAGCTGGCTTCTTCTAGGTACGATCAGTTGACCCAAGCTGTCCACAAATAAAATCACCCAACCAATAATTTCCCAGATGAAACTATTTTAACAATGAATGAGAGTGCAGAATGTAGAGGGCAACAGCTTAATGAATTCCTGCTTACCCCAATATTTGCAAGATATAAGAAAGATTGGGCAACATGGGGGAATCATTTTAAGCAGAAGTCGGATGACCTATTTGGATCTGTTTTGCAATTAATTTTTTGGAAATGTACCAACTATTCATCAACAAGCTATCAGTTGGCTTGGTAAACAGATTAGTGGAAGGTGAAATTCCATTTGATAGAGTTGCAAGGCTTTTAAACAGTAGTTTAGGTTAATTTCCTCCTCCTAAGCACAGTGCCAGCAAAATGAAGTCAACGGCACAAACAATTTTCATTACTGTACTGTGGGCCTTGTTTCAACTTTCTGCAGCAGATTAACAACAAAAGTGATCATGTTCATATAAACCACCGGCTTCTCTGTGAGAAAAACAAGTCAACTCCAGTAAAACTGAAACCTACATTACGAGTGAAGTGATTTATACATGGAGTGGCTGAGATCTCAGATTAATGTTCTGTGTAGTTTGCTGTAATGCCACTCAAGATAATTTTTGATTTAAT